ACCAGCCTGCGGCAAACTGGTGTATGGATGGCGCCACGGTGTAAATGTCTGATGCCGTTACTGTCCATTCCCTTTCTCCCCATCCTATTTATCGGCAAGTCATCGTGTGGCAATGGGTCTTCCATCCCCGTCACCACGTCCAGCCAACTCCGCATCCCTTCTCATTTCCCAAATCGCCCCATCTTTGCCATGTTCTTACTCCTAGTATCATTAAAAACTTAATTTCTTATTCTCTTGAAATCGACTCTATTGGATTTTCCGTGAACGACCTTTGAACCAATTGATGTGATTGTCAGTTGTAATAGTATGAGTGCTCTCTACCTGTAAGTTCCTTCCACAGTCACCACACGCCCTCATGCCACAATTGACGATTCGGATCTCTGGCATCGTTGACTTGATCACCTCGGTCATGACGCTTTTCGTCATCTTTCATCGTTTTCATCCTTTCGAAGCAATAAAACATAAAAGAGCATTGTTTATGTAACGCATGTCAACTTGGGCGACATGTTTGGTTGCCTTGCATTACTGAATCTCTTGTCCTTTTGTTCCCATTTGCTCTTTGTTCTGCCATCTGGTGACTACATGCGTAGAGAGGGAGCACTGCGAGTCGGGAGTAGTCAGGCAAAAAGGTTGGAAGGGAATGTGTCGCCTAGTGACATCCACCCTGCTAGGCAGGGACGCCGTGGCTAATAGTTATTAACGGGTAGGATATGGTTGTTGAAGTGTATATGTGTATTGCCTAGCCCTTTCCATGAGTTCGGACTTTTGGCTGAGTTGGCTAGTGCATGAAGCTTAACATGGTATCAGAGCTAAGGTCTTGAGTTCAAGTCCTGGCTTTCGCAATTTATCTGAAAATTGTTGTTTCCCCCTTTGTGTCCGCCTATAGGCCTCTTGAGCCATACCTCTGAGTCTATCCAAGTGTTGACTTTCCGCATCACACGTGAGAGGGGGTGTTGAAGTGTATATGTGGATTGCCTAGCCCTTTCCATGAGTTCGGACTTTTGGTTGCGTTGGCTAGTGCATGAAGCTTAACAGTGGCGATGTCCAGTTTGCTCTTAGTTGGGGAATCTGGCTAGTGGCCTACTGTGGGGGTGTATCATGAATCATTCGGAGTACCCAGTGGCGGTTGATAGGTCGACAAAGTTTACCTCCCATGGGAAACGCCCTCACCTCTTGCTTAGGTACTATCTCCCTAACCATGATGCTTGATGCCCCTCTTGGAAGGGGTTCAACTTTCAACCCACGAGGCACGCCATGATCACCCTTCACTTGGGTGTGCTAGCGCAGTTTAGGACCCTGGGGTCAGTTGTTGGTACCTTGAAAGAGCTGAAAAGCTAGGTTTCCCCATGTTGTTTCCTTCCTTTGTATGTTCCCTTCTCCGTTCCGGCAACCCTGGTCAAAAGGCCTCCAGATTAGCCTCCCTGATCGGTCTAACTCAGGGAGGGGGTACAACTTCACGTGCTTTACCTCACCACTCCTCACCAAAAGTCGAAGACACAACTTCTCAATTCGAACCCTGTTAGCCCCCTGTTCAACGATTGGGATGCCCGGAACGTTGGTCTCGGAGGATCCCCGCATCCACCTTCCCCTTTTGACCCTGGCGAGCATCCGGTCACGGTCGGGCTCTGGGCCAGCGTTGGAACGGTAGGCAAGTCTGGGCGTATGGAGTTGACCGCTGATTATGGGTCGGACACAATCTGTCCTACCTGACGGCGTTCCTTGTCCAAGGGATCGGGGGCTGTGTCCTTTGTGCGACGATAACTCCCCTGGGGCCCATCATCTAGAGCTGAAGACATGCGTAGCAAGGGGTGGCCTTGAAGAGCACGAAGCTGGGACGTCCAAGAACAGCGGGGTACAACGTGTACTTCAAAACGCAACCCGTTGGTCCATGTTGAGCTGAAGGTGACTTGGAGGTTAACCCTCCCCAGGGCTTGGGAGCAATGCGTGCAGACAACCTCGTGGATGGGAGAGCGGACCAACTCAACGCTGGAGCAGGGGACTTGTAAGCTACCAGCACTCTGACGTGGATGATGTTTACGACGCTCCCTTCAACCCATTAACACCTTCGGGGTTGTAGCCCCGAAGATGAGGGGCTTAGGTACCAATGGGAAGACGACGAGAGGTGGCATGACACCTTGGCCACCTTGAGAATTGGCCGGAGTGCGCCTGGGCACCGGAAGCTTGGGACTTGGGAGGCCGCCGCCATGCTTGCCCCTCGTTGTGCTTTAGTCCTTGCTAATGGCCTTGTTGCCTCCCATGAATCCGTCCATGGGAAGTAGGGAGTCCTGTTCGTCGTTGTTTAGGGCAAAAGCTCTGGCTCGGTCCTCCTTGCGTGCTGGTGAAGGAGATGACACTCATCGGTCTTGTGCCATGGAGCTTGCATGTTCCGCCCACTGCTCGACGAGCTGCTCTGCCAAGGTTCTGCTTTCGAGGCTCTCGGGGCACGCCTTCGCTTTTGTGACTTGCCTGAGCATGGCCAGAGCTGTCGGGAGCAGCCCGACGGTGTTTCCATGCTGCTTTTGTAGGTGCAAGTCTTCTGGTGCTCCCTTGCCGACGTATGATGTGGCACTCCACCGCTTTGTGCCGTGAACATTGTCCATGAAGGGGGCACATCTCCGCCATCGGTCAGTTAGGTATCTTGGGGCTTAAGTTCTTCCAATCCCTGGACAGGATGGCTAGCCCATTTCTTCTTGTCCCACTTGGCACCAACCTGTCCGGCCTCTAGGGAGGTTGGTTGCTTGAAGCTTCAGGCGTCACCGTAGGGCTCTTCCAAGGGGTGGAGGCATTCGCGAGCCGTCGGCCTTGAACCCGAGGGCACCAAAGCGTAAGATCTTCCCTTTGGAGAAGAGGATCGTGCGGATCAGATCCTCGGCCATGTCCAGGACGAGGCGGAGGGGGCCGAGGAAGAGACCCGGCTTGGTGCGAAGCCAGCTCGCACGGATGGGGCCATTTCAATCAGCTGGGATCGATCTCCATGCATTGCCCCTACTTGGCGCGCCAACTGTTGGAGTTTTCATTCCGGCAGTGCTGTCTGAAGGACAACTAGATTGTTCAGAGGGGCGCATGCGGGGAAGGATCATGACCTCTTGGCACAAGCGGGTAGTACTTCACCGCCCCAGTCATGTCCTTCTGATGCAGGCAAGATAGCTTATTTAAAAAAAATCAAAACTAGGAAAGTTCTCTGTTGCACATTTTTTTTCTTCTAAACGGAGGCAAAAGCTTTGCCAAATCTCATTAGTAAAGAAGAGAATTGCCAGGTTAATTAACGGAAAACTGGCACAAACACACTCGTCGTCCGTCATGGAACACGACAGCCTCGAGGGAACACCCAACCAACCTGGCTACCAACACAAGCCGCAGGCACCACCAAAGAGAGAGCCGCCGTCAAAGTTGTCCACCGGGGTCATGTCATCACTCCTCGAGCCAGCGACTCAAACTTTACTGAAGAACAGCCACCAAAGAAAGCCTCGTCGCAGCGGCTTTGCAAAGCCCGCACCGGCCCATGCCAAACAATCGACTCGTCGCGTAGAGGACTGGTAGCTCCGATTCTGATGACGAGATTTGAACATATATGCAAAGCTCGCGCCAATGAAGATCTTCATGAGAGGACTGCCCAATGCAGGTCAAAGTTGCCACACAATACACGACAGCTCTGACTTCTAGCAGTAAAAGACCAACACGAAGACCCGTCGGACATGCCGGAACAAGCGCTGACTACCAAGTTCTTGCCGTGACTAAACCATCACTCTTCATCGCTATCGTTGCCGCGCAGGGCATCTCACGGGATCCATGCATCACCAGTTGGTAGGTGGCCACCTGCCAACTGTGACGCCACGTGCGTCAAGCCCACCAAGAAATGTGGATGGGAGCAAGATTTTCAAGGCGACGCCCCAACGGAGGAAGACGACGTGAGAACAACGCCCGTTGCCTGACCGGACTGGTCTAGGATTTCCCCTGAAAAGCTTGCTCTGAGGATGGGAAAGGTCGAAGAAGACTCCATGGCGACGCCTCAAGGAGGAGAGCGACGCCCACAGGCGCCGATGCTGCTACTGGCAAGAACCGGGAAACTTTCGCTCGGAGCCTTTTGGACCACCATCCCCGAGGCACTTATGTGAGCCGGCCCGCACACCCCCAACACGGCGACCGCACCATCACCACGCCGAGGCCACCGCCTACCTCACCGTCAGCCAACATCGATGAGCTACATCTGGCGACCACATCCAGCCAAGATGCAGATCTTCAAGACGCTGCCGTTCGCCACCAAAACTTGGAGGGGAGGCCGCCACCCACCCCAACATGCCAGAGGAAATACCGCCGGCCAAAGCCTGCACCATTTCTGGTGCCGCCGTCCCAACGCACACATGAGCAGAAGCTACCTG